ATTTTTTAGGGAAAAAAATGAATTTCATGTACTTATATATACCGTATACATTATAATAAATTTAATTGAATTTAGATACACCTGTAGCAAAGTGCTAAAAAAAAAAAAACATTACTGTCGATTTATTGTATATCATATACGAGTGCAGTGTACGCTCTCCATTTTTCGTCGACAAAAATATAAAATCATCATTAACACTTATTTTAAAAATTATTTTTATTTAATTGTACTCATTACTATCAGTTTACCGATGTTACCTAATTATCGAATGAACAGCATTCGCATTATATAACATACAGTTTAACAACGTAGTTTCAGTTGATTAACAATAGTTCGTTATTGTATTATGTTAATAGTATTTGACTCATATTATAATGCTTATTAAAAGTTACACATTGTAGTAAGTACTTAGTGATTAAGTTATRTCGGTCTATAATATAATAATATAAAAGAATAGTATCGTTGAGTAACTACATCAATGCATCGTGCGTGTATTACGTCATCATAATGTAATTATGGCTATATTAGACTGTTATCGGAGGTTTTCATATTTAAATATCAATTTTAAAACAAAACTGTGTAAATTATATACGTGGGTATTTCTACGTGCATCGTTAAATCGAAAGGTGTACGACCGCTGGAAGGTTAAAGTAATTTACTCGCTCCCCAATACCTAATTTTGGAATTCCAGCGACCACGTTAAGTGAAATGTACTACCATAATGCGGGATTGTTTTTTTTTTTTACTGCTTCCCAATGTTTTATACCTTCCCGCTGATGTTTCATATATTTTACGTGATAATCTTTTCATTCGCATACTCACATTCCAGAAATATCTAAATCTTTGAAAATTCATTTTTTTTTTTTTAATTTGTCGTATATTATATTATGTACCTACTTAATTTAGATGTTGGTTTTTTTTTAACTTTAATTGAACAAAAAAAAACTTTTGATTATTTTGGAGTATCGTGTACATGATTATAATGTGTCCGAAATACTTAATTCACAATGATTTTAATAAAGTACATATTTTATATTGATAAATGCACAACTTAATGAATAAAAGAATATTAAGATTTAAGGCATCATATATGACTAAATAAAATTCCATTACGAAATTKTACAAAAGGTGTTGGTACTAACCTTTGATTTTATAGTTAACGTCTAAGTTGATTGTTAAATTTCACTTAACATTATTATAATACTCTGTTATTTCTATCGTAATGATCATGTGTATTAACTGAAATAAACTCATTGTGAGAATGTAGAAAATTGACAGGTGAATACAGGTCAGTGGTCATACTAAGTATAAAAACTCACGATTATTTTACAAAGTCTAATAATGATAAATAATAATAAAAAAAAAATTATGATAGTTGGCATAATATTCACATAGTTGCTCATACTCACATATTATTATACTGTGTACCTATAACCACCGTTGTATTTTTTATTAAACCAATAAATAATCACTTATTACTTATCTAAAAAAAAAGGATTAACATCTTCAATAATCTTTAAAAATTGCAAAATTTAAGATCTATGCAATTTATAATTTGACATTTTATATTGCCCATGTTTTTTGTCACTCATATACTCATATATTTGTTGTTTAATCAATAATCGATTTTTGATTTTCAAAATATGTAATTTATAGTGAAAACTTCAAAATGCATAAAACACTATTTTTTTTTATGGATTTAATTCGTCTGAGAATTATGATTATACAAAAATGTATGATAATAGTAGATACTTTTCAGACTGTTTAAAACACATTACTCCATTAAGGTAGTAAATTGCACTTGCCTACATGCTGTACAGAGCCTTACCTAATAAATGGATCAATAGTGTGATACAATAAATTGTTGCAACTCACTAGAAACTTCCTATTGCACTCTTATCTACCTTACCTCTTCTATTCTCCCATTATAAATAATTTCAAAAGTATTCCATACACAGATTCTACACCCGACATCCCGCTCAATTTTTTCGACTTCCATYTATTAACAAATATATTCTTTTCTTTTATTGTATTTATATATTATTAAATCGTGATGCAATTTTTTATTACTGCAGAAATATCTATAATTCAACCAAATACCAATTCAAACAAAACATGCAATGTGTTCAACATAAGTATTTGATATACAGATGAGTAAAAAATCGAAAAAAAAATCGAAAAATCAATTACACAATAGCAAAAAGGGTCCGGCGCAATAATAAGGTACATCCACTTTTTGTAATTTTCCAAAATTTATGAAAAACAGTTATACTAATCTACCTAAAAAAAAAACTGTAGAACATATTTTTATGCTTTAGTATGTTTTTATATAATAGTAGGTATAGTCTTATTAATTTTGAATAAATTTAAGTATAACTCAGTGRAGTTTTATGTTTTAAAATATACAGTGTCCCGCGAGGATTTACCCATTGCAATATCTAAAGAAATAATGGAGATAT